TTTATACCATTAAAATATCTTCTAGATAATTGATATTACAGAATACTGCATGCTAGAGCCAAGTCACGTTTTTGCAACTTCTGGAATTTGAAATCTTGTTTGATTTTTCTTTTTCACGTATATCCTCAAGCGTATCTTAGCTGACGACTAGAAACGTGGGGTCAATTCTGTATCTTATACTATAGTGAAAATGCTAAAAGTGAAAGGCTCTGTCTCTTTTCAACTTCCTTAAATAGAGACAAAGCCGCTCACTTTTAGCATTTTCACCATATTGTAAGATACAGAATTGACCAACTTGATGGTGTTATTTTGTCACCGACCGTTTTTTGAAAGTTTTTCAAGCGTACAATAACGATTTTGGAAAAGTAGATCGTGTGGTTCGCATTACGTATCGTAATTTATCACGCACAAATATGCACGCACGCATGCACGCTACGTAACTTAGAGCGATATCGAGAAGGTATCTGGTTAAGAGTCACTTTTGGCGGTAGAAACAATATCTGATAAATTTAGGTCGCGTGAAACTGGAGAAACAAAACATCCAAGTAATTCAAGGGGACAATGAAACAATCACGATCTCTATGGCCTCCACGACATCACACGAAGCTATACTCACAGGTAATTTTACCACGCATTGTCATACACCTACGGATATCCAATCGACATGAAAGTTCCAGAAATATCTCTCAGAATCCTTTAGAGGTTCATGTTGCTTGGATACTCCGTGACTAACAATCGCACATACAAACAGGAAACACGAAACCGTGATACGTCTTCTGAAAACTAAATATACTCAGACTTAAAGATCACTTTGCTTCAAAATTTCCATCATCGTCTACTTTTAACGTAGTCACATTTCTATCTGACCCATCGCGATTTAAACAGTAGGCGTGCGACTTATAGAAACAACTCTGTGATGATCGCAATTCTCTAGTAGCAATACGAAGAGATAATTTCTAAAGATACGGAAGAAATACGTCACGCGGGATGCTGATAGTCGAAGGTATTAGATCAGGCCGTTCGCAGGTCCCGGTGAAAGTCACACGATCAGCAAGATGACGGCGACCAAGGTCGAGTGTCGGGAATTCGGTGTTGAATCGGGACCTCACGTTGAAGAAGTCGCTTCTTACGCTTACACCGTGCAAGAGGAGAATTCCAAGCCGCAGAACGGCGTGTTGATCGAGGAGTTTTCAGATGCCGAGGAGAAGAAGTCAAATTTGGGCGCCAATCGAGGCGTCACGATTGTCTCCGTTTCCGACGACGAGTCGACCTTGAAAGCATTGTCGCGAGACGTCAGCACGGAGGATATGCAAGCGGCTGATCAACTCCCAGAGGATCAAAAAACGACGAACGGCATTCTCGACGAGCTCGCCTTCAACGGCACGCCAGAAGAGAAAACCTTAGAAGACGTTAAGTTACATCGAATCTCCAGAATCACAGAGACCATCGCCGAGGAGCAGTCCATGGAAGAACCGTTGTCGGCGGCGTTGTCGGGGCAAGCTCTGAAGCGAGAAAGTTTAGATGTGAAGACGATAAACTTGCCCAGTCAAAGCTCTACGATTAGCGACGCGAGTCCAGTGAAAAAGGTCGCGGAGACAACTTTAGATTCACCAAGCTCAGCCGTCGAGTTGTCAAAAGAAACGGCGAAACTTGAGAAGACGAAAACCTCGACCATATCGAACGAAACGTTGTCAAGACAGAGTTCTCAGAAGGCGCAGCTCGACGATGACGACGAGGAAGTCGACGACGAGATGAAGGATCTTTTAGCTCGTGTTAAACGGCAACGTAGCGTATTAGACGAAATCCTCGATAAAGAATCGGGCAGAGAGTCAGGTACGACCGCGAGGTTCCACGGGAAGCTTCAGCAGCTAACTCTAATCTCTAAGCACGACTCGCCGAAACATATTGTTGCATCACTTTTACTTACGGCTGACAGATCGCTAATTCTCTCACCCTTTCCTCCCTCTAGCATGTGACACTCTCACAATTTCATTCGCGTGGAAACATAAAATATCTATCGACAGTTTGCTGATAGGAAATCATAAAATAATACTTATAATTCTTAGAAATCCTACCTGCTCTCTCATATTACTATATTTTACCTAGAAAAAGATTTATCTATAATAAATCTTTTCTATTGTAAATATAAGAGATTAACTATATTAATATTTACATTAATCAGTATGTTATTTATGTTTCCATGCGTAACATTGACTATCTGTATCCTTGGAGTTTCGATTTTTATGGCATTACTCTTCGCCAACTTAAAAGAAATATCGAGGTAAGGTTGCAGCTTTTATTCTAAAATAGATAGTCAATTATATAATTTTCACTGCAGTTTTCTGAGCACCTATTTAACCAAGAGCTTCTAGGTAAGTATATATTAAGGACGTATTACTTAATGGATATTATTCAGCGCAGGTGAGATAAAGGAACAAAATGTATCAGTGAATCGCATTTGAATTTAATATTTGCGTTAATTTTGGAAAGAAGACTATACCGTTCTTCGTTTTAATTACATAAAGTTAATAAGATGTGTGAAAATCGAAATTTATCGATGCTTAGAAGATGCAATGTAACAAAATTAATTAAATGATAGATCGTCACATGACTGTCTTGATAAATTAAAATATATCATTCTCTGCAGAAAAAGATTTGGTTGTACAACAATATTCTTTAGCCGATCATACGCTGATACATTCTCCCGTTAATTTACTGGTAATTTGAGAAGGAAGGGTTTGTTTAAACGGGCATGCTTCCATGCGAAATCAATTTTTTAACACGTAACGGTTCACTATTTGCATCTTATTCCTCGCAGCCCCGCCTCACGTCGTGAGCACAGATCTCACCGATCGTACGATCTTCGAGACACAGAATACGAAGTTCGTGGTGCAGGCCACTGGTTTACCAAGACCAGATGTGAAGTGGCTCAAAGACGGTAAGCCTCTTCGGGCCGGGGACCGAGTAAGAATCACAACTTCAGGAGAATCGTACGAGATGGATCTCAGCAAGGCCACCCTCGAGGACGAAGCTCTTTATTCATGTGTCCTGACGAACAAATTGGGCGAGGAAACCGTGGAAGGTTATTTAATTATCGATACTGTCGACCAGTTGCGGAAACCAAGATTTACCGAGCCTCTCAACGACGTCGACGTCGCCCTCAAGGACAATGGCGAATTTAAGGCTGTCTTTACAGCCGATCCGGTCCCGGACATCACATGGTATATATTTACAGTCTATAAGAGAGTTTCTCAGTAAAAATAAGATTTTATTTAATTAAAGTTTACGTAGAAATGTTAAAATATAGGATAAAATAACAGAAAACAATATAATCATCGTTTTCTTATTAGTTTCAACCTAAGTCTAGCTTGGCAAAAGAGATTTATGTGTATAATTAAAATACATAAATTTAATTAGGCCGAAAAAATGTTATTTTGTAAGCAAATCTATTTTTCAGGTACTGCAAAGGTCACGAAATTCCACCCGACGATTCTAGAATTAAGTGGACCATTACTAACGGACCGGCAGCGGATAAATTGACAGAAAGTAAAGTCACGTTGAAAATACCGAAGTGTACGAAAGAAGATACTGGAGAATATACTTTGAAGTTGAAGAATAAATGGGGTGAAGCTGAGAGTAGTGTAAGTAGCGGAACGTTAGAGTAATAAAATCCGACAAGTATAGGAGACCGTTTAACGATTAATAAAATTTTTTGCTTCTTCAGGCATTCTTGAGTCTCCTATTGAAACCGGAAATTGACAACTTTAGGGATCACTCTGAATCGGTGGACGAGCGAGTTGAATGGCAAGCCATTATCAAAGGAAATCCGAAGCCTGATATCAAATGGATGAAGGACGGTAGGGAACTGCAAAAGGACGAACGATATGACATGGAGGAGGATAAAAGAAATTGCAAATACAAACTCGTCATTAAAAAGCTCAGTCTAGAAGACGGAGGCGTCTATACCGTTGCGGCAACGAATTATTTGGGTGAAGCAAGTGCTCAAGCTACTCTCACGGCTCACAGTAAGCGAAAATTTAATTTTCAGCCGAATATAACGTATTCAAACATAATGTTATAAGATAAAGAGATACTTGGTAGACATTTCTGTTGTGAACGGATTGAAGAAGTTAAAATAAAAACTCTTCTCTGCAGCTGAAGCTCCAGTCTTCTTGAAAGACCTATCGAAGATGCAATGCAGCGATCGTGAAGACGTCGAACTGAAGATCCGCGCGACAGGCGTTCCAAGGCCGAGCGTGGAATGGCTGAAAAACGGCGAGGTCATCAAGGAGGACGAAAGGTACCAGGTGACGACTCACGTGGACGGCATAGTGGACAGTAATCTCTTCATCAAGACTTTCTCCGAGAAAGATGTTGGCACAATAACGTGTAAAGCGAGTAACGTTGCCGGAAGCACTCAAACTAGCTGCGATCTATCTATGACGTTGACGGCGCCTTCGTTCGGCAAGGCGCTGCCAAGATCGGAGGAGGTCGACGAGGGCGAGCCTCTGGAACTGAAGGCCAAAGTGGATGGTAGCCCGATACCTAACATCGCCTGGTTCAAGGACGGCGAAAAGATCACGCCGGACGATCACGTGAAGATCAGTACTTTGCCGGATGGCACCACGAAGCTCACGATTGATACGGTGAAGCCTACCGATTGCGGCGCCTACAAGCTCGTCGTTTCAAACCCTAGCGGCGAGAATTCTTCGCTCTGCGCCGTCGCCGTTACGCGTGAGTGCATTTTATCTTCTTCATCAACAGATCGTTGGTTCGTAATCGTCTTAATACAAGTCGATCTGCGTTTCTTACAGCCGAACGAAGGAGACCGTCGTTCACGAAGCCACTGGAGGATACAAAGGCCGTGGTTGGGCAACCGTTGAAATTGGAAGCTCAAGTTTTAGCGTTCCCAAACCCGCAAGTGCAATGGTTCAAAGATGGAATACCATTACGACATACGAAGGAAATGAACTTCGTGAACGAACCGAACGGTCTCATCGGATTGAAGATGGATTACGTGCGTCCGGAGGACGCAGGAACCTATTCGGTGATCGTATCCAACGCGCTCGGTGATATCACGGGTACGGCTAAGGTGCAAGTGGAAGAGAGAGAAAAGAGGCCAGAATTCGTTGCGAGTCTTCAACCGCAAACCGTCGTCGAAGGTTTCCCAGTAAAGATGGAGGTGAAGACCATAGGAAAACCGACGCCCGAACTCAAGTGGCTGCGAAATGACGAAGAAGTCAGTTTAATAATATTATTAATTTTACCACCATGTTCTCTCGATATATCGCAAATTAATATTTACCTGTCGACAAAATGTCCATGATTAAATGTACTTTCAGATCGTTCCAGACAACAAGCATGTAAAAATCATTAGTCAACCGGACGGTAGTCAAGCCTTGATTCTCGACAAGGCAACGCCAGAAGACGTCGGCGAGTACCAGGTGGTAGCCGGCAATACAGAAGGCACTGCATCCTGCAAAGCCAAGCTGGACGTTGCCGGCAAGGTGAAACCGGACACGCCGGAGGAAAAGCCGGCATTCACCAGTCCTATGCGCGACGTGTCCGTCGAAGAAGGTCAGCCGTTGACGCTGGACGTGTCGTTCGTCGGCAATCCAATCCCCGACGTGAGCTGGACGAAAGACGGCGAGCCGGTCGTGCCGTCAGAACGCGTGACAATGAGCTGCGACGGGAAGAAGGTCGGTCTGCAGGTCGATCCGTGCAAGCCCACAGACGCGGGCGTCTACGGCTGTCGGATAAGCAATCCGCTGGGCGAGGACACCGCCAGCGCTAACGCCATCGTCCGCAAGGTCTACCAGCCACCGACCTTCACACAGAGGTTCACGGACTTACAGCAGCTGCCCACGTACGACGCCAAGTTCCCGGCCCGTGTCACCGGCATACCGCAACCGGAGGTGACCTGGTACTTCAATGACAAGCCGATCCTGAAGGACAACGACAAGTACAAGATAAAGCACGACGGCGATGCCTACTGCTTGTACGTGAAAGACTGCGCATATGACGATTCGGGACGGTACAGGTGCAGAGCCGTCAACAAAGGCGGCGAGGCGGAATGCGCGGCGAATCTGACTGTAGTAGATAAAATGTAAGATCTCACGGAAGGAAAAAACAAGAGCTCTATCTTATATGCGCTAACATTTGTCATTTCAGTCAAAAAATGCAGAAAGTCGAGCCGCCGGCATTCCTCAAGAGGATCGGCGACTGCGAGGTCTACAGAGGCATGCCGGCCAAGTTCACCGCGTGCGTCACGGGATACCCGGAGCCCGACTTCGAATGGTACCGCAATGGCGACCGGATATGGCCCACTGATCGCATCAGGATGGACCAGGAGGGCAGTCTGTTGCGGCTCACGATAGTCAACGTGGACGAGTTGGACGCCGGGAAATACGTGCTGAAGATATCCAATCCTCACGGCGAGGATTCGTGCAGCGCCGAGATGGTTTACGAATGTAAGTAAACGGCAATTTCGTCTTCGAGGATGTACGTCACGAGATTTTCGAAATATTCAAGCCACTTTTACATGTCGATATTTCTCAACCGCAGCTCTGGAACCACGCGCGAAGAAACCTCTTGCCGATCAGTACGCGGATTACGACAAGTACCGGAAGTCCGGCATCCCGCTGCCCTTGGCGGACCGTCCGATCATCAGCCGCATGATGGACCGACACCTGACCCTCTCGTGGAAGCCGTCCATCCCCATCGGCCCGCGCGTGCCCGTGACTTATTTAGTGGAGATGTGCGAACTTCCGGATGGCGATTGGTTCACCGCCCGCACCGGTATTCGCAGCTGCGTCTGCGACATTCGCAATCTCGAGCCGTTCCGCGATTACAAGTTCCGCATTCGCGTGGAGAACAAGTACGGCATAAGCGACCCGTCGCCGTTCGCGCAAACGTATCGCGCCAAACTGGAGCCGGAGCCGCCCAAGTTCTTCCCGTATCTACCGCCTGGCATCGACTTCCGTCCCGAGACCAGTCCCTACTTCCCGAAGGACTTTGACATTGAGCGACCGCCGCACGACGGCTATGCCCAGGCGCCTAGGTTCTTGCGCCAGGAATACGACACTCAATACGGCGTGAAGAACCACAACTGCAATCTCTTCTGGTTCGTCTACGGCTATCCCAAGCCGAAAATGACGTATTACTTCAACGATCAGTTGATCGAGTCGGGCGGTCGATACGATCAGAGCTACACTAGAAACGGCCAGGCAACCCTCTTCATCAACAGAATGCTCGAGAGGGACGAAGGTGTCTACGAGGCTGTCGCTACGAACGAACACGGCGAGGCCAGGCAGAAAGTTATCTTAAAAATCGCCGAGTATCCCACGTTTATCGAGAGACCCGACGAGACCATCGTAATGGTGAGAAGAAACGGCCAATTTACCGCTCGTGTAACGGGCGTACCTTACCCGGAGATCAAGTGGTACAAGGACTGGAAGCCAATAGCATCATCTACCAGAATTAGGGTGTGTTTCGGTTTCGTCTTTTTATTATACGTCCCGATTTCACCGCAGAGTAGCGAAACGGTCCATTTTATTGTAACTAAAAGAGAAATTTCCTTCTGACTTTAAAAACTTTAAAACTTACAAAACTGTAAATTAAAACGATACCTTTGCGATCAGATTCAGTTCACCGAACCTGACATCACGACCCTCATCGTGAACGACGCCATCGTGAAGGACGAGGGACTTTATTCGATCAGCGCGGGTAACGTGGCCGGCTCGATATCCTGCTCGGTGATGCTGCACGTGGAAGAGAGCGAGCACGAATACGGATACAGGACGTACAGGAAGAAAATGGACGTGAAACCACGCGACAAGCTGTTCGATGACTTGTACGATCTGGGCGACGAGCTGGGCCGCGGCACTCAGGGTGTAACTTACCACGCGGTCGAGCGAAATACCGGCAGAAATTACGCCTCCAAGATTATGCACGGGCGCGGTGACCTCAAGCCGTTCATGTACAACGAGATGGAGGCGATGAACAACCTGCATCATCGCAAATTACTGCGATTGCACGACGCCTTCGAGACCAACGATTCGGTCACGTTGGTCATGGAGTTGTATCCTTATTTTTGCATTTTATTCGCCTCGCACGTAGCGTTAGTCGTAGTAATTGTGATAAAATAATTATAAGACACTTTTTAACGTTAATTACTGTCTATTATTTTGATTATAAATTCTATTCGTTTAATATGCTACGCGGAAATAACACAATTCAATTAAACGATCCTTAACGACGGTAATTTAGAGCGGCCGGTGGCGAATTAGTGGACAACCTCACGAGGCAAGAACATTATACCGAGATAGATATCGCTCGTTACATACGCCAATTGCTGTGGGGATTGGAATACATGCATGGAAATTATTATGCGCACCTCGGTCTGACGGTAAGTTATTTGAAACTCAGTTTTTTCAAAGATGAAAACTTTAAGTGTCAGTGCAATTTCTTGTTATACCACTTAAAACGTACATGAGATTCAAGATTTAGATAGAGAGGAAAGTCCCCTGTTATGAGAAAGACTTCTAATATGAGATAGCAGGCTTTCAACACCCAATTTCAATCACAACCTTCTTTCACGGCGATTACACAATCTAACAATGAATTTTCCACTAAACAGATCTTACTCCAAGGGCAATAAATTCATGGTAAATGCCGGTCTCACAATAGGGGATGTTCCTCTAATAAATGTAGCTTGTGAAATCTCTCGTTTTTCAAATCTTTCTCTTTCATCAAACTCTATTTTCGATTTCGCTCTAATTAATATGCGACGTTTAATATATTACGTTTTCTCGCAGCTCGGCGATCTGCTAATCTCCCACGCCGGAGGAGACGACCTGAAGATCGGAGATTTCGGACTTGCCCGCAGAATTTCGCATGCAAGGCTGATGACCCTGGCGTACGGTATGCCTGAATACGTCTCGCCGGAAGTAACTAACAACGAGGGTGTCAGCTACGCCGCGGACATGTGGTCCGTTGGCATAATCACCTACATTTTGCTGTCGGGTATCTCGCCATTCAGAGGTGCGAACGACAGAGAGACGCTCAAGAAGATCAGAGAGGGCAAGTGGGACTTCGACGACCGATGGAGAAATATCTCGAACGAAGCGCAGGACTTTATCCGCAACTTATTGGCGTACAACGTCGACAAAAGGATGGACGTTAAGGCCGCCTTGGCTCATCCGTGGTTCAATTACATCGACAGCTCGCCGCCGGAACCCTATAGGATACCTTCCGAGAATTTGAAGAATTATTACAAACTTTATCGGTAAGTAAATCACAATATCTTAGGCCTCGTAGATGTAACAGGTTTTCTCAAGCAGAATAAAGTTTTTTTTTTTTTAATAAAATTTGTTGCAAGCTAAAATTCATAAAACCGACGGTGTTATTGTAGAATTGGTGTAATTTATTATTTTAAGAACGTTTATGAGATGAGGCATTTTTGTAGCGACTGGTACAGCAACGCTTCGTGCCGCACGTGGTACCGCAGAAGCAAACTGGAGACAGCGTTCGACGATCCATCGCGAATGGTGTATCCGCCCGGACATAAGTTCACGCCCGAACCCGACAGGAGTCGCAGTCCGTTGAAGAAACGCTCGCCCAGAACGTGGGAAAATCAAATACCGTCCAGAGAACCGATCGACACGGAGATCGGCATAATCAGTAGTGAAAGCCAGTAAGTGGCAACCGTAAAGAATGCAGCCGAGTTGATTTCAAAGATATCATAGAAGTTCTGTGATTTTATGCGTTAATATTAAATTAATATAATTTGCAAATAGTTTAGGAAAGTCCCCTAATATGGGACAGCGGGGTTTCTGTAAAATTAATAGGCATCGTCAGTTGATTCCACCATGAATTTATTGCCCTCGGAGCGAAATCTGTTTTGTGGAAAATTCATCGTCAGGTTGTGTAATTGTTGCGAAAAAAGATTTGTGATTGAATTTGGGTGTTGAAAACCTACTGTCTCATATTAGAAAACTATCTCACAATAGAGGACTTTCCTTTATGTCTATAAGATATATGTAAAATAACTTAAAAGAGTGTAGAATATAAACTCGACGTAATTTTATATAACAAAATTCATGCAACTCTTTCATCTTCTATTTATACTTTACAGTTATCAGAACGGTCCAGACACATATCTTCTTCAACTGCGGGACACCGACTTCCCCGTACGACTACGTGAATACATGAAAGTCGCGTGCAATCGTAGCCCCGGATTCTCGCGTTCTATTACGGAAGACAACGGCTTCGACTGGAGAGTAAGTGTACAGCTGTAAAATTGGGAGCAAACGAAATATTACCCCAAACACTGTTCAAATAGCGTGCCACTATTTTCTTATCAGGCTCCCATCATACGGGAACGTCGTCGATTCACGGACGTCATGGACGAGGAGATCGACGACGAGAGGAGGGCGCGCATCAATCGGTACGGCTCGGCGGACACGTTCACGCTTAGACGTTTGAAGAACGAACTGGGCACGCGGTTAGACAGTTATGCCGAGGCGGAGGCGATGATCGAGTCGAAGAAGGAAGGCCAGCTTCCGTTCTTCCGCGAGAAGCCGCAGATCTGCCCGATCGAGGAGGGCAAACCGGCGCATCTCACCTGCCTGGCAGTAGGAAACCCGAAACCGCTGATACAGTGGTTCAAGAACGACATGGTCATACAGGAGAACAACAGGATCAAAGTGACGGAGGATTCTGACGGGAGATCCATGCTCAGTTTTCATCCTACGAAGGAGCACGACATCGGAATATACAAGGTCGTGGCGAGGAACCCGATAGGACAGACGATTGTCCGAACCAGAGTGTTGCAGGCAACGGTTTCTTGCGGCCCGGATTCTCCGGAGGTACAGCGATTAAGCAACTTTTCAAGTGGCGATCAATTTATTTACAAATGTACCTCCATTTTCCAAGTGTGTTGTAATTACCTTCAACTCCCCAGGCTTCCGACGTTTCGGATACCGAAGTCCTCCTGCGCTGGAAGCAGCCCAAGTACGATGGCAACTCGCCCGTGTTGTGCTACAATCTACAGTACAAGGAGGGTGATTCAATCGCCTGGATAGACGTCGCCTTCAACATTGACCACGAATTCTATGTGGTGCGCGACCTGAAGCAGGACACGAGTTACAACTTCCGTCTGGCGGCGCGCAACCGCATCGGTTGGAGCGAGAAGGGCATCCCGTCCAAGTTGATCAAGACGCGGCTGCCGGGCTGCCCGAAGGTACAAATCACGCGGGCGATGCGGCATCTCCAGGAGCTGACTGAGGCCGGCCAGGAGATTGTCCTGGAAGAGGACAGGCCGCACATCGATTATTCCCTAGAGGAAAATCCGATCGAATGGTCGGTGGAGCCGCAGCTGTCGGCCAAGTATAGCTTCATCTCGGAGTTGTCGCGCGGACAGTTCTCCGCGGTGGCGAAGGGCGTGGATAAGAGGACGGATCGCGTGATCGTCGCCAAGATCCTGGAATTGAACGCCGAGACGGAGAAGCAGGTGAACCGGGAGTACGAGGTGTTGCGCTCACTGCGACACGAACGGATAGCGATGCTGGAAGCTGCGTACAAGACATCGGGCACTCCTGTGGCGGTGTTCATCCTGGAGAAGCTTCAGGGCGCCGACATACTCACGTACTTCTCCAGTCGGCACGAGTACACGGAGAACTGCGTGGCGAACGCCATTACGCAGATCCTCGACGGCCTGCAATATCTTCACTGGCGCGGCTACTGTCACCTGGACATTCAGCCGGACAACGTCGTGATGTCGTCCGTGAGATCGGTGCAGGTGAAATTGGTCGACATGGGCTCGGCCCATAGAGTCAGCAAACTGGGCGCGGCGGTGCCCAAGCACCTGGGCCATTCCGAGTACAGATCACCCGAGCTCTACAACGACGAGCCCGTCTACCCGCAGACGGACATCTGGATGGTCGGTGTGCTCACCTACGTATTGCTGTCCGGGGTTTCTCCGTTCCGCGGTAAGGACGCGGACGAGACCAGGCAGAACATATCCTTCGTCAGATACAGATTCGAGCATCTCTTCAAAGAGCTGAGTCAAGAAGCTACCAGATTTCTCATGTTGGTCTTCAAACGCGCGCCAAGGTAATAATTTAAGGAGCTTTCACGATTAATATATCGAAATTGAAGCCGGATCATTGTACTTGATATTAAACGCGCAGTGTGAAGTAAGCCTTTCATAATAAAGAGATACATTAATTTTTTGTCCCCAGCAAAAGACCAATACCAGAGGAATGTCACGAACATCGGTGGCTAGTGCCGACCGATTTCATGATTAAGAAACGCGAGAGGGCTGTGTTCCTGGGTAACAGATTGAAGGAATATAATGAGGAATATCACGCAGAAAAATTAAAGATAGCTTCAGACAGTGACAGCCTGGCGAGCGAGAGTTTGCTGGGTTCCAAACAGAAACTTATCAGGTCAACCAGTATACAAGAAGAGCTGCTGACTACGTTCTAACGATGTGGAGAGCTACAATTTTTTATTTATATTTATGTATACATACACTTGCGCGCGCGCGCGCGCACGTGAATACGCGTATGGTCCATAAGTATGTGCCACTTCGCGTACAAGCCTAGTCTATATCCGAACATCGAGGAGGGGAGAGCGACGAGAAACGAGATGTACAAGGAGAAAACTCTCTCTCCTTGTTTTCTCTTTTGTTATTATTTATTTGTTACAACTTGTAATTATAACGAAAATCGTTGTCGACCGAGCGTCGATGTTTCGCCGGCCCTTTCGTCGGCAGTCAAATTTTCAGCCGTCCGTTAATTCGACGAGTACGACCGATAACTGGTGGTCTACACATTTCAATAAATCCAGGTAAAAAGGTAAATGGAATAATATACAGAATAAATCGAATTTTTTTGAAGTTTAATAAAAAATGTTGATCAAGCATTGTACGAAAATTATAAATAAACACTTGACAAAACGGTAGTACGCACCTTTCTAATTTCTCCATCTCTCCATTAGCGTGAGATATTTTGTTTACAAAATTCAATACGTACACGATTTAGAAATGAGATATTGGAATTATAATTGTTTAGATATATTATTACACACCTGCTTTTTCTTTTTTTATTTACAATTGCTCGTTGGCATTACAATGTCTCATAGAGAGAGAGAGAGAGAGAGAAAAACATTGTACATGTGTGTGATGTAGTTTTAATCCTCGAAATACGTTTACATTTTTCTCATATATATGTAATAGTATAGATCGCAATTAATGTATATTAATGCAATTTCGTTACAACAGTCCGAGAATTCGATTGTATGAAACTGAAAGATCAATCTCTTTCAGGTAAAAAGACTAGCAAAAGTAAATCAACCTAAAGCACATTTGAGCAAGTTCTGTACTTGTACACTAAAAAAGAGGCACAAAACCAATTTGAAAAATGTAAAGAATTATTTGTTAATTAAAATGTTACAATGTAAATCATCTCTTTGCAAATTGCATTACATAATCTTTAACTTTACTTCGAAAGGACTCTTTATCCTTGACAAACAAATCCGCTGCATCTCTGTTTAGAGGATCGTCAAAGTTTAGGAGATCCTGAAAAGAGAAAGAGAAACAAAATAATACAAGTATAAAATGCACTCGACACAAGCGCACCGATCCAACGGGTTACGCAGCAGAAAGTGCTTATATACGTACAGTGAAAAGAGAATTTAAACCCCACACAACGTCTTTCAGTTTGCGCGTTGGTGCCCATCCCATTCCATCGATGCTGCTTTGTCTTAGAATGGATAAACATACATCGCCATCCTCGCTGATGTTAGGATGCCATAGCTTCGTTAAACACTTTACTATTGGTGGCTGAAAAATACAATTTAGAACAGTGGTTAGTGAGAATTCAGGCGCAATTTTCTCCCTACTTTTCATGGCAATGTACATTGACCTCTTCTCTCTCTCTCTCTCTCTCTCTCTCTCTCTCTCTCTCTCTCTCTCTCTCTCTCTCTCTCACTCACTCACTCACTCACTCACTCTTTCTCTTTGCTTTTCCTTTCATCCCTTTCTTTCCCTTACATCTTAATAGTGATGCTAGAAGCATCACAATTAAAGCCAACGGCACACGATAGAGGAGACCGGGTATGATGGTCACACGGGTAGGTTGTCACAAGAGTTATAACAGAAAA